TTTTTTTTTTTACGTGGATGTAGGCCGTCTCTATGTGATAAACAATTGGCAACCAAACGGTGGCTCGCTAAAGGGATATATTATGAAATTAAATTAATCACTCAATAAGTATTAACGTTAGATTGTTTCCTCAATATGGCCATGGTGGTCATCAGTGACTGGAGTGCCTCAAATGTTTAGAATAATTAAAATAAAATAAACGTTGTCAACTAAAAATTTTGAACGTCATAGCAGTGAACGTGTTAATAAGTAATTGTTGTTCAAATTATGTCGTGTTTTATGTCATTTTCATCAGAAAAATCTCATCAATATGTTAAGAAAAATTTCGGTATAAAAAAACGTAAAATTAAAAAAGTTGATATTTAAATCACTTGGTTGCCTGGACTCACGTTTCATGCTTATCTTTTATTCGTTGTCCTTGTCTACGTTTGGCGAACTACATAGGCCGGCGCGTGGCTCGAAAACGTAGTCCCTGACTCTACGAGTGTCAGGTTTAGCTTCCTTGCGGTCTGACACTTGTGGAGAATATACTGTATTTCATGTTTCCATGCAAAATCCTATTTTTATGGGACACGACGTACTATGTTTCTCTGATCAATTTTTCACAATTTTCAATTATGAAAAATCTCACTATCGTAATTGAAAATTTATGAAATCCACGTATATCAAGTTTCCATGCAGAATCCAATTTTTATGGGACACGACACAGCCATTAAATATCCATGGGGCCACGGTGTCGGTTATTGATTTTATGGTGACATCGACATGGCCGTCTAACAATGAGTTAAGAGAAACCGAATCATGATAGAGAAAGAGAGAGAGAACTTTGGCCACGTTCAATACCAGATTCTCAGCAAATATTCGTCCAACAGTTGTAAACACTGTTCCACCTCTCGAGATGGACGATAACCCCAGAAAATAAGGTCCACTTCCGGTGAGATGAAAGTCGTCTTTCATCGCATTATCGTCGCACGTAATGCGTTTTCCCTTCGTACGAATTTCTACCAGACTTTTTCTCTCTGGAAACTGCGGAAGGAACAAGTGCCAATAAAACTTGGTTGGAAAATTTTTCTCAAGAAGTTTCAGTAGAAAGTACGAATTGATCTTTCCTTCTCTTGAGAGAAAAACTGTGCTGTCAGCGTTTCACTGTATGAATCTTTTATTATCGCGATATTCAATCTACTTTTCGAATATTTTTTATTACTTTACTCTTTTTCCTCCAAATAGTTTCTCTGTTATGAAAAATTCAATTTATTCGTGCAATTGTATTTATCGGTTCGTTACTTTGTTCACTTCTATCGATGTGATTTTTCTTTCAAAGCAAACACGTGCGGAAAATTCGTTTTGAATCGAAGCAATTCAGCGACCGATATCAATATTTCCGTGGTAATTAGTGTCGTTAGAGCGATCGATTTGCTGGCTTCACGGTGGTAAACGTGCTTTCTAGGGGTTGTTCCATCCCTCGTCGGTAACGTAGAGACCTTCGCTTTTCCGTGGAAAACTAGGGAAATCTGGGAAGCGTATCCCAAGTCGATAAAGCGAACTCAAACGTTTATGTGCTTGCAGTACCTTTTTTTTACCAACAATCGTTTCAATTTCAACGAGATCCTGCGATTTAAGATCGATCAATTTTCTTCTATCGTTGAAAACACTACAAAATCTTTTTACGTCCTATTTATCACATCTGTATTAGCGAAACAGTTAATTTTTTTTATAAAATAACTCGTTTTATTTTATACAAATAATTAACCGCGTCTTTCCGTTTGTCTGTTGCAGCGAAAAAGCAAAATGGGGCGGCCTTGCGGACAAATAGTTTGGGCTCAGGGGCGAGGACACCACCTCTCGAAAGGAAAAGCAAATTTTCAGCCCTCGGTAGACTCTTCAAACCGTGGAAGTGGAAACGGAAAAAGAAATCGGATAAATTTGAGGCTGCCTCATTGTGTAAGTATTTTCCTATTAGAAAGAAATTTTACGATAAATTGAAAAAATGAGATACTTGTTTTTTTTTTCTGTGTTGAATTGTTAGTAATAGTATTGATTTGGAGGTTTATCGATGAGCAAGGGTGTTAACCAGGGGTTGTTTCACGCGATTGCAGCGCTCGAGAGGAAAATCTCTGTACGAGCTAGCAGAGACGAGTTGGTACAAAAAGGAATCCTGCTGCCCGTCATAAGGTCCACGTCGTTTCCGGAAAATGGTGAGTTTTACTGTTTTACCATCTGCTACCAGCTCGATGGAAAATCCTCTGTTGAAATTGAACCATCAAATGTTTTATTTACGTGGACGGTTTGAGCGGGTTATATCGGAATTTTCTATTCGTGGTCGAAATATGGTAATATTGTTGCAAGTGTTAGAGGATTGAAAATTTTTGAATACGAAGTACGAGTATTTGAGAATTTCGTAATTCTGTAAAAGAAATATTTCTGGCAAATAGCGAAGAATGCAATGTTTCAAGATTGCCGATTGATTAGAAATTAAAATTGTTAAAACTGCAGTAGATAGTGCTGTTTTCTTGAATTTGAATATTTCAGAGCCAT